TCTCACAGCGAGTTGCTTTCATGTGGACCAGACAGGATTTATACCGGGGAGGTTCATCTTAGACAATGTCATGACGCTAACCGAAACAGTAAGGTACATAAGAGACAAGCGTATTAATGCCGCAATACTGTTCTTTGACTTTGAGAAGGCTTATGACCAGGTAAGCTGGCCCTTTCTGCAGCAATGCATGGAAAAGATGGGAGTGGGTCCGAATTTTAGGAAATGGATTAGGGTTTTATATAACAATGCGCACGACCAAGTGCAAGTTAATGGTCATTTGTCAGCAGCCTATAGAATGTCAAGATCAGTTAGGCAAGGGGACCCGTTAGCGGCACCGATATTTCTGTTCATAATGGAGGCGATTGCTTCCTTTTTGCGTAAGGATCCTTCAATTCATAGATTGCTGGCGGAACAGGATCATCATGGACACACTGTTCACCTTCCCACAGTTATTATGTTTGCAGATGATCTAACAGTACTCATTAGAGCATCGGATTCATCATTTCAAGCTTTAATAAGAGCAATGGAGGCTTTTCAATTAGCGTCAGAAATGAAAATAAACTGGCGGAAACGGAGGGTTGGTGGTTGGGAGAACAAGGTCAAGAGAGTCATCTCCCGGAGGAATGCCCATAGGGCCTACAATGGACATCTCCACAAACCCCTATTAGATATCTAGGCGTGAAAATTACAGAGGCAGGTACTCATCACTCCAAGGCGGCAGATCTATTGGCTAACATCCTGAGTAAGTTGGGGGCTTGGTCGAACGTCTRCACTTCTATATTCKGGAGGGCACTCATATTAAATGCATCTATCTTCTCTATGATCTGGTATGCAGGGTCAATTTGGACCCCGCCAAATATCACTTTAACATTGCTGAGAAGAAGGGMAGCGGCATACTTATGGACATCTAATGCAATGACTGTACACTTCATTTCCAAGTTGGCATGGAAACATGTTACTAGACCAAAGCAGCAGGGAGGACTGGGGATTTTAGACCCCGATCACCAACTCAAAGCACTTCAGACGAAATGGGTAATTAAGTTGATTACCCACCATAACTTGCCTTGGACGTCCCTAGCGCTCTATCAGATTAGGAAATTGGCTAAATATAGAACCCCTTCGAATATGTCGGGCCAGTTTTGGGTCATGTGTAGCACATGGGCCAAAGGGGTTTCAGAAGGTAATGGCAGGGGTGATAATGATGAAGGAGTAAGGAAGCCATCATATTGGGCTCAACTAATGAAACTATGGAAGGAAATCTTCCCAGCCAGGGTTGGTGAGCCTCACACAAGAGAAGAAGTTTTGAGACAGTCATTATTTTGTAACTCAAGTATTAGAGATGCACAAGGGAAACCACTGACACTCTCAAATAAGGACACAAATAGGGTAAGTGGCTGGAGCGTGGGGTCTGGCAGGTTAAACACCTGTGGGAAGCCTCCGAGAATAGGTGGAAAACAGTAAAAGAGCTAAGGGAACAATGAAGGGGTTGTCACAAGCTGTTGAAAAATCTTGAAATAGTCCTAATAGCCATTCCACAAACGTGGGGGGATCTTCTGCGAAGGGGAGTACAGTGGGGGCTAGGGGACTGGGCGACATGGCAAGATGAAAAAGACCCAACAGAAGTCTTCAGAATATGGGATCAGGAGCCTGCAAGGCCGGAATGGCTTCAAGCAGACAAATATACCGTCATGCACCAAGGAGCCACCACCTCTTCACTAATAAAGAACTCCAAAGTGTCTATAACCATTCTCAAAAGTCAATTGCGAAAGGTAAGAGTAGTTGAGACAGACGAATTCACAGTTTTCTGTCCAAATACTCCACTGGAAGATCTGGAAGTAGACCCCGGGGAATGGGCAGGGAAGATCAGAAGTGGCTCTATGGGAACAGAAAGGAGAATTAATATTCTGCATTACACCACTACGATAGGATATAGGTTGAGAAGAAGATCCTTTTCTCTTACGCCTCATCTATTGAAGAGGTGGGAAAAGAGGGTGGGGATACCCCAGGGACAACTATCTACGTTCCCTTGGCAGGCGATTAACGCAGTTAGATTGGGAAAAGTCAGAAGTATGCAATGGCTAATAGCCCATGTGGCTCTGCCGGTCAATGAATGGTTAAATGAGCGAAGGAGATGGTCAAGGAGGGATCCAGCAAATGCAGAGCGTAGAGCAGAAGTATGCAATGGCTAATAGCCCATGTGGCTCTGCYGGTCAATRAATGGTTAAATGAGCGAAGGAGAYGGTCAAGKAGGGATCCAGCRAATGCAGAGYGTAGAGTGTGTCAGGGTGGCATGTCAGAATCAATGCAGCATTGCCTGTTGGAATGTACASGAGCAGACATCATTTGGGAAGAAGCCAGGAGTATATGGGGTCACATCTCCAAGACTCCATGGTTAGACAATAAAATTGCACTCTTGTTGGGGGTCCACATCCCGACGCAGTGGAAGTCGTTCGAGAAGAGTATGTTTCCATTGATACGACAATATAGCCTGTGGACCATTTGGAAGAAAAGRTGTCAAATTACTAKTGAAGGGAGTACAATGCACATACAGGAAGCAAGGGAGATATTATGGTCATTAATTGAAAMAGATTTACGAGCACAGTGGAAGAGGGTCAAGACCCAAATTCTGCAAAATCCGGSCCAGGAGCAGGAAATAAGGAAGAAATTCAATACCAATGTACTAGGGCAAGGAGCGGTGGCAACCTTGCACGGAAATAACCTCGATTTTAAATGGAGGAGGGGATTGAAAATCAATTAATGGAAGGAGCTTAAGGGCTCTACAATCAGTGGAGGGACAGACACAGTTACGACACAGAAGGGATATTGCAAGACCTACACATACCAGACGACCAAAGCCTGGAGGTCACAAGCTTAGTTGCTAGAGGAGTCATCAAGAAAAGACAGGTTAAGAGGGATTAGGTTTTAAGGTTAAGACAGAGTCAGCAGGCAATGCACAGGTTGGTAGTAATGGAGGGAGAGCTCTTTCTGGGAAATATAGCACTATTTGGCGGAACTGGTTTTCAGTTCTGAGAGGAAAGAGAGAGTCATGGCAAGGATGAGGCGTTGGAAGGTAAGGGAAAGGGGAGTAACAGCAGTAGGGTTTAGGGTTTACGGCGAGGACAGGCGGAAAGAGAGAGAAGAAGGAAAGGTTAGGCAGAGGAAAATAGACGTACGTTTACGGAAATTGCAGGTCGGGACACTCCGCAGGGGTCCCACTTCTTCCATTACATTTCTGCCCTTTTTTCGTTACTGCAGCTGGGGAGGATGATTGGCAGTACTAAGGGCAGGTTGGTAGGTTCTTTCCTTTATTGCTATTCCTCTTTTCTTCATCTACTTTTGTCTTTGTTCAAGAATAGCATGTAGCTAGACAGGAGAAAGGGACACTGGACCCTGTTTCCAGTACGAGCCTAATCTGGGTAATGGCCCCGGTTTTCCGGGTTGAGATGTGGAGGGATTCCCGGCCTCCTTTTGCTCAATATATAATGAAGCATGCTTTGAAAAAAAAAAAAAAAAAAAAGAGGCGCCCCATGCCCCTTGGCACCCGTACTAGACTTTTGGGAAGTCAACAGTCAGGCCCAAGTCAGGCATAGCAGTCAAAGAGTCAAAGATTTACCAGGAGTCAATCACAGCCGCAGATCTCAGACAAATCAAATGCTAAATGCAGTTCCTGGAAGTTTCCAAGGCCAAATGGGTCCAGGCATACATTGGCCAGCAGCAAATCTGTGCCGCACAAGATTGAGAAATCTCAGCTGTTCGAGGAGGCAAAAGGGAGGCAGACCAGGCCAGGTCAACAGCAAAAATAAGCTGCCTGCCCCACCCAACTCATTCATTCTGCCTCACGCTGCTTGATGCTGGAGTGCTGCTTCAGAGCGCTAGCGCTGGGAGAAGGCAGACACAGAGAGAGAGAGGGAGGGAGAGAGAGACAGACAGACAGAGATGGGGGAAGGCACAGAGAGAGAGAGACGGACGGACGGACGGAGAGACATAACAGAGACAGAGACACAGACACAGACACAGACACAGACACAGGTACTGTCTTCCCCCAAACACAACGCACCCTAATTTTGGTTGTATTGGAACGGAAAGCTAGTTCATAATCAGTGTTGTTTTCGGGGTAAGACAGTAGTGACCATAGCTAGGATAGAGGGAGCACTGCACCATAGTTTAGCAGTAGAGAGAGAGTGAGGTTGAGGGAGATCAGGCCTGTGCAGAGAGGTGAGAGTGAAGGAGAGGCTTAGGTGACTTACCTCGTGATGATTGCATGCTGCAGGGACAGCAGCTTGCTTCAGAAGACTGGCAGTGGCGGTTGAGAGCATCAACCTCCGTAGCGCCAGTTGATACAGCACTGGAGGGCTGAGAGGTACATTGGCGAGTTGCTACTGGAAGAGGAATCGGCTGCATAAATATCTATAATCCACTGAGGTGGTGAGCAGACAGGAAGCCTGGAGGTTGAAGGAGGGTGGAAGAGCCGTAAGTTTGTATTCATTGATTTTTACGGAAAGCTTTCCTCCTCTTCTCCGATTTTTCTCTACTTTTGTCTATTTTACTACTTCATGTTGATGACATAGATAGTGTGTGGATGCTTTCAATCTCAGATAAGGACCAAAAAAAAAAACCTCCCATGAGATAATAGGTAAAAGTTACTAAAAACTTGGCAAAGTGCATACAACAACACCTCGACAGTCCAGAAAACAAAGAAGGGGAGGGACTAGCCAGAATCGTAATTGTTCCTTTACGACATCCTTTAAAATTGGAAGAATTCAGACAAAATTAGCACAGTCCCTGTCACGCCACTAATTGAGAAGCACTTCCCCCGTCCAAAAAAGAATCCCAAGGCATGTGCATGTGCATGTGCAAGTGCTCATGTGCATGCATTGCATGCATGCCTATGCATGTGCATGTATGTGAATTACTCCCTAAGGTACATTCAGGACAACTGGCAAAATTGAGGTCGGGCTCCAGAGTGTTGCTTGCAGTTTAAAATTTCCAAATTACATCACCTCTCCACAAGCGCCGAGAAATGTGCACGGAGGACATTGAGTCGCGGATTGGTCCCTCTGCAGACATCAATAACCTCAAATGCGATGTTTTCTCCTTCACGGTCACAGTCCAGCCACAAAACTAGCCACTGGCACTGACTTGCTTCCTGCTGCAGAGTGAGCATCAGCTGGTGTTTGTCCTGCAGGAGAAGCGGGGGGGGAACAAAGGCCAACATGAAACACATTGTCTAGAATGCCAGAATTGTAATAAGGATGACAGTTCAAAGATGTATAGAATTGCAGTACAATTATATACACCACCAGTGCACAACGAGAACTGAATTTCCCATTGAGTATGAGTGAACCAGCTGCAGGTTTCACTAAAACTCCCGCACCGGCTTCAATTTAAGGGTGCAGGCAGGGGAAGGATAACATCAAACAGAAGCCCGACGTGTTAGTATTTGCCTGAAAGAAGATCATGCATCAGCTTTGGGTCGGGCAATAGATAATGGCACAGAAGAAAAGAGACAGCAGGTTATTCGTAGCTGTGGAGCAGAGGCACAGTGCCTACGAGGCTTTCTGGGACTTCATAACTGAGAAAAAACATCTTGAATGGCATCACAATTTGGCTAAATAACAGATGTACCCACCAGCGTGCCCCGGCTTCACAGATACCCATGTGCGATTTGTGGCTGTGCTCACAGGCACTTCCTATCCCGGATACCCAATCTGCAAATGCCCATACAAACTACAAACTTTCTATAAGACAAGTGGACCCGAGGAGAGGGACGAACAGGGGGCGGGGCTGTTGTTGTCACACTGCTTGGGCATGTCATGTCGAATCGTTGGACTTTCACTGACTGATCAGGAGATTCTCTCTCTCTCTCTCTCTCTCTCTCTCTCTCTCTCTCTCTCTCTCTCTCTCTCTCTCTCTCTCTCTCTCTCTCTCTCGATCCGATGCACGTCGCGATCCTCCTTCATCCCGGCCTCGTCTGGGCTCGTCTTGGTGTTGATTCCATTGTCATCCCGAGCCGT